TTGTGAGTTTTATGGCTGTTGCCAGTTACGGATCAGCCCTAGAAGATTCTAGATGACAAGCAAAGGCGAGTCATACACAATAAGTTAATAAATGCATTGCCATTTTTGATGTTAGCAATCTTGAGTGATCTGGGGTTTTACTGTGGGGAGCACTAACTACACTTACTACGGTAATATGCCTTATGCCTGCGGTATTAGAGGAGTTTGCCGTCTTGCTGTTATAGTTCTGAACTATCAATCAATCAGTCAATCAATCAATCAATCAGTTTATTTATAAAGCCCATTCCCACCCTCAATCAAGGGGGCCCAAGTTGCTGAACATAGTGCAAAGAAGCAGCACAATAAAAAAGCTGTATAATAAAATACAGAGATAAAAACACGTAAAAACAAAAAAAGAGCTAAAAAAACAAAGATTGTGATCAAAAACCTTAAAATGTGAATAAAAACAACTAAGAGACATATCTAAAATACAGCTTAAGCCTTGCTTTAAAAGTGGGCAGCGATGTGGGCGGCTTGATTTCTTGTGGGAGCTGGTTCCAAAGCCGAGGTCCCAGAACTGCAAAGGCACGATCACCCCTAGATTTACGCTTTGATCGCGGTGCCACCAAAAGGTCACTCTGACCCAAATGTAGCGATCTTGCAGGGACATAATGGCTCAGCATGCAGGCTAAATATGGTGGCGCTGATCCAGACAGGGATTGAAAAACAAGGACCAGGAATTTGAACAAGATGCAACTCTTCACCGGTAGCCAGTCCAAAGCTGTCAGGAGGGGAGTGACATGCTCCCACTTACGTGGTCCATACAGAAATCTGGCAACAGCGTTTTGGACCAGCTGGAGCCGAGTCATTAAGAACTGGCTCAAGCCAGCATAGAGGGAGTTGCTGTACTCTAGTCTAGAGATGATAAAAGCATTGGCTACAGATTTCAACTCTTGTTTTGTTAAGATCGACTTAATATTAGATAAGCGCCTTAACTGATAAAAACACGAACAAACAACAGAGTTCACCTGACTATCAAATCATAGACCAGAGTCTCTTTTAACTACCGGTACTCATTAAAAAAGGGAACTAGACAGTTTTTGCTTGCTTTTAGCACCCCCTATTGTCTGTCTGTGGAACCAAGGGTTTTCTCCATTTGTTCTTATTTTTCATTAAAGCAATCAGTTTTAAATTACTTTTATTTTTTACCAAGTTTAAACAAAAACCAGAGTAAAAACAAACTATTGTTTTGTGTTTTGCAATGGCTATTCACACAGAGGTCCAAATACGTTATTCATTCATCTGGGTTTGGTCAAAAACACCATTTTCAGCCCCAGTTCATTTTCTTCCTGCCAGAAACATAAAACCTTTCTATCAAGAAGCCCACTGAATCCTTGAGATTAAACCAGTTAAAAAAAATTTGGTGCTCATCAAAAAGAAAAATATTTGTTTCGCTCGTTTTGCAGCTCAATTAAATAGAAAGGAGAACATTATGATTTAGCTCATAAAATCACATGTAATTAAATATCTATTATATTCTACGGATTATTTCTAACAACCATTTCACTTCAGTCTGTAATTTGGTTTGATTCTCAGTTGCGTAACCATAATTATTTTTGCGGTACAGCCATTTTGCTGTGGCACCTCATATCAAAGATCAATATAAATAAATGATCCATGCAATATTGGTTTTGGCTGAGCAGTATTTATAAATCACATGTCTTAAAGCAAATGTAAAAAAAGAAATAAAGTAGGGAATTTTAAAGCAACAAAAAGAAAATCATCGGATGTCCGGCAATTGTATGTAGGTTATCCATGCATGTAGATGCTCTAATGAGATGTGTGTGTGTGTGTGTGTGTGTGTGTGTGTGTGTGTGTGTGTGTGTGTGTGTGTGTGTGTGTGTGTGTGTGTGTGTGTGTGTGTGTGTGTGTGTGTGTGTGTGTGTGTGTGTGTTAATGTTCAGTTAAGGTTAGGTTTAGGAAAAGATTAGTTAGTGTCAGGCCAAATCTAGTCACTCTGAATGGAAGTCAATAATAGTTCTCACAACGAATGCCAGATGAAAATGTGTGTGTGTGTGTGTGTGTGTACTTGTCTTTGTAGGTTTAAGTGGACACAGTTTAACTTTACATGTATCGTGTGGGCATTTTTGCATTGTGGGGACATTTTGCTGGTCCACACAATGTGAAGCACCCTAAAACTTAGAGGTATGGTGTTCATTAACTTTTAGCTTAGGTTCGTTTAGGTTAGGGAAAGGAATAGAACCCCATTGGTTATGGTTAGGACTAGGGTATGGGTTAGGTATCGTGGAGTCCCTAAAATTAATGGAAGTCAATGGAGATCCACGCAAACATATAAATGCAAGTGTGTGTGTGTGTGTGTGTGTGTGTGTGTGTGTGTGTGTGTGTGTGTGTGTGTGTGTGTGTGTGTGTGTGTGTGTTTATCTACACACAAAACAGATGGTGAACAGGGGGAGTCTGCAAGAATATTGTGACTTATGAAGTGAGAGAAGACACTTGGGGAGTTAACTGATAGACAATAAAGAAAAACTTTAAAGTTCTGTTATATAATACAAGTTACAGTTAGTGCACACACACACACACACACACACACACACACACACACACACACACACACACACTCACACAGTTTTGTAAACACAGCATGGTGTAGCCTAGTTAGCAGATACAGAAGTCCTAAAATCCACTCAAATGAAATGAGAAGGACAAACAAAGCTGATTTTAAAGTTGAGCGTCTTGTAGCTCAATGACATCACACTGGCTCTGAAGTTATAGACCTTCAAGTAAAAATGGAACCTCAGATGCCCTAAATAGATCATGATTAAGATCAGGGTGCGTATGATGATTATTCTCTTATTTTCCCTGCTGCCTAAACAAAAGAGACTATGAAAACAGGACAACTTGATGCATTTAGCTGAAGTTGAATCCAAAAATTTACAGGAAGTAATACTGACGGAAAATGGATGTGACTGAGCTTATCTAAGTAAAAATGTTCAAACTTCAGTCTGTCAGATGTTGGCCAGCAGTGTGAGCTGCCATAAGATGCTACGCTGTCTTAAAATGAACTTGGTGAACAAAGATCAAGGGTCTTAAACGTGAATCACGCGTATGTGTCATTTCCACTGTCGCAGAAGGGTTTGTGACTCACTCTGAAAGTTTGGTTAAGAGCATCCGTTCTGAAATCGAAAACTCCAGAAGAGAGGACTTCTCAAGTATTTACATATGAAAGTAGTTGCAGTCTCCCATTTACACATATTAGCTCAACACCCAGTGATGCCGCCTTAATACATAATAACAATACCAAGTGTTATGTTTCATCATTCAACCGATTTACCTGCTAGTCTGCAGTTGGTTAGGTGATAAAGGATGACATAAGAAAAATGTCACTTATAAAGTCGATTTTCCACAAACTTAAAAAGTAAACTTGGCTCTGCTCTGAGGAAGGCTACAGTGATAACGTAGGCATAAACAAGGTAAAAAAAAAAAACGCTTTAACTGTGCTAAAAAAGAACCGTAATTCATTTATTTTTATTTCCTCCAACGTCAAAAGACAGACAATGTAAATAATAGTATTTTTATCCACCATAAATCTACTTTTTTATTTTTGCATTTAATCTAAGTCAGTTGCTGAGAAAGTCGTGCTTTGAGTGTTCTCGTTTCACATCATCTACATGGGTTTTACAGCACTGTGGCATTTAGGAAATGTCAGAATTTTACAATTATTCAGACAAAGCACCCAGAGAGATTAGGCTCATCACCGTCTCAGATTTGACTTAACCTGTCCCTGATGAGCAGAGCACATGAAGGCAATGCATTACCCCCACACACACACACACACGCTCACAGCTCCCTCAAGTGGTAAACAAGTAAGCGTCTATTCGACGGACCTCCCTTCCGTATTTGTGTGTCAACCCAGTGCATATGTGAACGTGCATCAAAGGGTTTCTCTCATGCATAATCAAGTTCATACTTTCTGAACTTGTTCTGGTTCGACAACAACAATCCTGCTGCAAATGGCTCGGGTTGTTTGTTGCTAAAAGCCTTTTATCTGCTCCTCAACCTTAAGGGTGGATTAAAAGAATTCCTCAACATTCGTGTCTTCCTAATAGCGGACTGCAAATCCCCTCCTCCTAGCTGCTGAGGACAGGATTATACCACCGGTCCCCTTTTTGTGTAAAACTCCAAAAACTTTAACAGGTCCTTTTATGTTCAAAATGTAGAATTTCAGTTTCTTTTCATCTCATTTTGCTTTTTCACCTCTATTCTTTTGTAACTGCCCAGAATTCATTCACCACCCATCTACCAACTTCTTTTCTTTCTCTCCTCTCCTTATTCATTGTCTTCTTTAGATTCCTCTCAGTCTTTTCCTCTTATTACTTTCACATCTTTATCCTCAGCTCTCATGGCCGAGCTCCTGTAATCCTTTCCTCGCTCCTTCTTATTTTCATACATAAGTATGCCTTCATCTTTTTTTTAACCCGCGTGATTCAAAAGTTTAAATTTCAGTTCTCTTCTTGTGCGATAAATTATGAGAGCCGGATGACGTTTCTGCCGTTGTTCACGGAGAAACAACATTAAAGTCTTCGCCAAATTGAAAAAGGATGCTGGGACCTCTGTAAAATAATTAACGACCTTATTAAGTTTTAAGAGTTGGAGCCGTTAGTATTTTTTATGAAAGGTTCCTTTATCTCTCTGCATCTCTGTCCAGACAAATTAACATATAAAAGAAGCCAGAAGGTGGTTTTAAATTCTAATCTAAAATGAACCTATAGAGGTTGTTCTTTGTGTCTGAATGATGAGCTGAAGGGAGACGGGAAATGTGTTGAAGACATTTTTTTTTTATAAATATGCCTCAGAGACATCAAAAAGTCTTACTCTGCTCTCTGCTACAGCAATGTTAATCCACAGGAATTATCATTATTCTAGGCTTTTACTCTAGAAGGGATGCTTTCCCTCTTGCCTGTAAGGAAATCACAACACTTGTGTTCTTCTGTCTCCTCCAGCTGCTCCGAGTACAGATGATGTGGCGCTCTACGTGGGCATCGTCATCGCAGTGATTATGTGCCTGTTCATCTCTGCCATTGTGGCGCTGTTTGTGTATCGCAAGACTCACCGGGACTTTGACTCGGACATCATTGACACCTCTGCACTAAATGGAGGCTTCCAGTCGGTTAACATCAAAACAGCCAGATCAGGTAATGACGGGGTCCAGATGGGACGTTTGAGCAACAATTAACTGGGAATGTAGAAATTTCATAAATATAATGAGCTGTTATTTGTGTTTCGTTGTGGTTAAGAGACTGATTTATTAAAATGAAAACTGCTGGTATCTGCTTAGAGATGACAGCATATTACGGACACTTGGGGGGGGGGTAATTTTGCTTTCAAGTTTCTCGACTAAATTTAAAATGTTCCATAAGTAAAAACTGCTTGATTACTCAAAATGTCCGAAATAAAGCTGTGAGTTATTTCAACAATACACTGCAAAAACAGCACTAGGATGATGATCAAATGTTCTTGTTTTAAGTTAAAAAAAATCTACCGATGAGGTAAGCAAGAGTTGCTTGGCTAAAATTCTTAAAACTAGCAAAATCATCTAACAGCTGTTAGAAGGCCCTTAAAAGTGTTATGAGTGCTTGATTAAAGCTGTTACAGTGTATCTGCAAACAAGCTAGGTTTTGAACACAAACACCGTCATGGAACACTCGCTCCTCCCCTCGGGTGCCGTCACCGAGATGCTTCTGCTGGAACTGGAAACCTGTTTTGCCAGAGGAAACGAGAGAGCGCTAAACACCAGTCGCCATTTTCCAGGTCTAAAACAAGTCCCCATATTTCGGGTCTGGATATGAAGAAAAACAGGAAGTGACTAAATTTGTAGTTCCACCACCATCCACTAGGGCAGTGGTCCGCAAATGGTGGCCCGCGGGACACGTCCGGCCTGCGAACCCTCTCTTTGTGGCCCCCAAACCCCGCGCGCACCCCCCACCCCCACCCCCGACGGCCGACCGGGAGGTTTAGGATAGAGCTGAGGAAAATAATCAAATAATCAATGCATGAGATGCAGGCATAAACGATTCTGCATCATAGAAGAGTAGCCACGATCAATTATAGTGGAATGTAGTTTTGTTATTTTAACGGCAGCACAAGCGCAGCATCCAACTCTAGTCAGAGCGGTGTTCTCCACATTTACCGGGTAGGAAACTTTGGTCCGCCTTTATGTGGTGCTGCAGGGCTGAGCGCTGGAGTTATAACCTGAGACCAAACCCGAACTGAATCAGCCTGACCGGTTCTGTTGGATGTGGGCCTTAAATTATGTTAATTGAGCGGGTTGTCGCACGGCACGCTCCGCTTGCTCGATCAGCGAGTGAGACAGAGAGAGCGGGAGATTGTCTGCTCACACAAGAGAGAGGATCGGAGGACGCTCCTCCAAACACGCATTGTTTTCATAATTTCATTATTATTTCTCCTGGAAGCGCTCAGTCAGACCGAGTGCTGTGATGTCGGGAGGTCCGGTCTTGGGGAGGGAGCGGGGTCAGTGACGGCGGCTGCAGCGTAACCTGTCTCTTATTTAGGGACACGGAGAAGTTCTTGTTCCACTTTATTCTTTTGTTTCATGATGATAAACTGATGTTAAATTGAGTTTAAAGAGAAACTGGGAGGAAGCTTTGGTTAATTTTAAGTTACATGAGATCTTCTCTCCTATCTGCTCCTCCAGAGACAGCATGGGCATGAGGGTTACATGGTGAGGGTCACACAGGACAGGTTAGTGCAGTCACACAGCCGAGCTGGAGGGGGGCATGTGCTGTTCTTCTTTATATTGCAAGCTTGTGTGTTCCGCATTACACCCAGCGATCCAAACAGCAGGAGCACCCCATTCCTGGTTCCAAAACATGTTTTAGGTTTAATAGATCTAGTTTACACTCATGGCAACTCTGAGGGGGATGAACTTTTTTGTCACTCTTCTGTTTAAGTGTATTAAATGCCTGAATAATTAATGAGCATCAGACCCACGTGACCGCAGAGCTAGCTCCGGGGAAAGGCCTGAGCCTGAGACTCGGTCTCGCCTGGAAACTGTTCCGCCATTTTCAGTCTCTCAACTTAGATCATTAGTTGTGCCGTTTGTGCGTTCTTTTTTGGATATTTTTTGTGCAATTGTTGGGCAAAATGACTTGCTGTGAAATTAATTGCACTAATAGAGCGTCCAAGGAGTCTCCACTTCATTTTTTTCGGTAAGTAAATTTATATTTATGTATTTTAGGTCACTCCCGTTCTTGCGCTAGCTGAGCTTATCAAAGTAGCTCGCTAACTACCATTTTAACATGTACTGTTTAACCATGAAATTCAAATGTAATATGGTAAAACCCAGTGCATTTAACATAATGCTGCGTTTTTGAAAATGGGTTGAAATATAACATGCTGGTGGAGCTGGGTTCTGACTACTGGTATGGTCTCCCTGCCCTCAGCAGCAGCTCGGAGCATCTCTGATCGCAGCGGTGCGAGCTGCCGGCTTGTGGAGCTATCGGATGGAATCCTCTGGGTTCCACCCGGTTCTCCCCAGCGGTCAGCCCGGCATATCTCTGACTCGAAAGCTCCGGTGTTGTGCACAGTTAACTCCGGTTGTAGCTAGGTAGCTACCTCCGTTAGCTTAGCTCCCACCTCTGCGTTAGCTTTGGGTTAGCTTGTAGCTACTTCGCTTCAGTTCGACGGGTGTCGTCATTTGATCCCAGCCTTACAGCCCCACCCTCAGCTCCACCTTTTATGGAATTGTCTGGGCGTGACGAGACGTGTGACACAATCAAAATGGCGGTGGTGGCCACCTCCCATTTCAGATTAAAACCTTATAATACAAGCCTATGGACAGGAATGGACAGGAATTTTCCAGTATACATATATATATATATATATATATGTATATATATATATATATATATATATATATATATATATATATATATATGTCAATGGTCTAAACGCCTTTTGTTTACTGTGACTTCAAATGGTGTTTTTCTTTTTATATAACTGCAATAGCGTGTCTTATGAACCCGCCATGCCAGGATGGCATTGCGCGAATTTTGCGGCACTAGTTCCGCCTTGCTTGGTAGTAATATTGCGGTAATGGTCTGACTTATAAACAGCTCTTACGCCATGGCGCAACAGAGGGAGGTATCATGGTGACATGGGGAGTTAATGCTGAGCTCCGGCCAGTAAATATATTGAAAATGAAAGTAAACACAGGCAATAACTTTTGCTTTTTGAACTAAATCAGCTGAGACGGCAAACTGGAGCGCTGCAGCGCTCCATGAGCATCTCTCTGTTAGAACTGAGGCTCAGATCATCAGACTGCACAGGGACAGACACCTTTAAGAGTGGCTTGTTAAAAATGATTAACAATACTTAATCGTGGCTTCAATCGCAATAAAAAGCAAGTTATGTCCAAGATAAACGGAAGTCCACGGCATCGCAGAGAGCGCCCCCACACTCCCTTTACACCGCCATAGCCTAATCTTTTATAAAAAGGACACGATTGCTCCACATTGCCGCCAGAGACTGACCACTCATAAATGACCTAAGGCTACCTGATGCCTCCACGGTGTTGCGGCAAATTGACAGCATTGTTTTGTAAAAAGGGCTATTGAGAGAAGAACCTCTCACACCAGTGATGTTCTGTTGCTAAATACATGAGTACGTAATAAATGGATGACCCAGGGAAGTGCAGAAATGTTGCAGTTCAGCAAGACAGACAACCAGATGGTCTAATGGTGTGTTTTTTTTGTCCAAAACTTGTTATTGGTGGAGGTTTAGACTAATTTGAGAGAACCACTTTATCCCTTTTTAAAACTCATTAACTACCAGCCATTTTCTGAACAGAAAGCCCCTGACTGCCAGCATTTTTGAGCATTTTTACTGTTTTGAAAAGTCACAGAATATTGTGCTCTATGAACATGTAAACACCAAAACTACCAAAGGAGAGTGGACTCGCTTTTTACGTTCTTTCACAGTCCGTTGTCGAAACGTGAGCTGCAGAAGTTTTTCTGTTTTGCAAAATAATTTTTTACAGTGTAGCCCATATTCATTATTTCCATGTGATTTCTACTTTATTCTGGAGATTTAGACTTTTAGGTCCACATGTTCCATTAAATGTTCTATATCATGCTATTTTAAACCTTTGAGAACAAAGGTAGGCACAGTACATGATAAAATATTTCCGTTTACACTATTGAGAGGTTATTTTTCCTAAATATGAGTTAATTTCATCAGCCTGAGTTTATACCTGGAAATAAAACACTTTGTTTTAGTGGAACTCCACCCACACCCACTCTGACATATTGTGCCTACAACAGCGTGTTAGGCAAATCCATTGCTGTAATGGCTATAGTAATCTAGTGGTTAAGGCATCTACCTGCCATCTTAGTTTTTCCATGTGCTGACGTGGATTCGAATCCCTGTGGTGTCTGCAGTAATTTATTTAGCCAGCTGAAGCAGATTTCATGTTTCAATATTTTCATTTTATTCATTAATTTCTGAAAAATTTTTTCTGTCCCTAAATGTCTTTGAATTTGGTTATTTCCAGGCAGCATTTTAGCTGATTTACGAAGCTCACCTCACATGGACTCACACTGGCTAAATAAACAAAGAAAGTAAATAAGTCCTTATATTTTAAACAGTTTACAATTAAAGGGTTGTAAACATAATACTGGTAAGTTTTGCAGCTCAGGCTGGGATGTTAACGTACGCCAAACTGCCAGCCTACTGGACCACCAAGTCTGCATAACACTGGTCACCTAAACCACATATCCTATGCTGGCCAGGGGAGAATAGCTTCCAGAAGAGAAGCAGGGTCTGATGGCGAGATTAGTTTCCTTTGACGCGCTACAAGATTTTCAAAGTAAAACTCAAAAGTTGCTGCTTGAACAGGGAAATGCATGAATGCAGCTAAACTTGGGTTTGGGGTTTGTGGATAAGAATAGCACACGGTAAGAAGCTTCAAAAATGGATTTTCCATGATATGGCCTCTTCAGTTCCAAACAGGGGAAACAAAAAAGGAAAGAACCAAACTTCTATCTTTAGAATGGATTTAGTAGACCAGGGATTCCCTAAGTGCGGTCGCGAGCTGCCGCTAGGGGGTGCGCGAGGTGAAAAGTGTAATGGCTGCGGAGCTCAGAGAAGTCTGTCATATGTCACCATTAGCATAGCC